GACAGATGCAAATAAGCTGAGAAGTGAAATACATACATTTGTAGAAATTATGCAACTTTCTTCAAAATAAGTAGTCAGATTGAAAACTAAACTTGGTGCATTGAAAAATCACACATCGTAAACCAGTCATCTGTAAAATCAAATTTATTCATTTTGCTTCAATAATATTTGTTGTTAGTATTATATAAACACATTAAAAAACTATTATAGACACATTGTACAGCTATATTAGTCACATGCATGCCTTTGTTTGAACGGCTCTTTTAAAATTTCGAAGTAATTCATTTTATAATATAACCTATTTTTGCTTCTTGTACCGACAATAACATTCCTCTCAAACAAGTTTTAAACATGTTTCTGAGTGATATGAGGTTTATGAGCAGTGGCGGCGGCACATGGGGGCAGATATACAAGAAATAGCGTTTCAGGGGGTTTAGATTTCAACATGTTTAAAGCGCGGTAGTCGTCGCGCTGTGCATGTGCGAGATATATGGGTCTCATATAAACAAATGTGGCGACTTTGACTGTTGCGCAAATCAACGGGTATGAACTGAGACATGTCCAAGCTTTAATTAGATAATTTTCATGTTATTGGAAGGTATCAAGGAGTCACCGTCGGTAATCAGTGCACATCTTGCCTAAGTCAAACCTCATACTTGTGATTTCCATTTGAAGAGCGCATTGAATGTCACACGTGCGCAGCGCGACGACTACCGCGCTTTAAGGGGAGCATGGCCCTGGACCCCATAATAACACGGTGAACAGATCTCGTCCATCCATATAAAGTTTTGTGCCGCCTCTTCTGAAGAGCTCTTTTCTGACACATCCAATCATTCAAATGCGTTTGTAGTTTTTTAACACAGTAAAAAAAAACAATTTTAAACATGTTTTGGCTTCTCATTTGGTGAGAGATTTCATTTCAGTTTTGTTTACTATTTCATTTCAATGACTTGTTGTTCAATGCATTTCTTTGCTTGGTGAAGTCCGTCTTGTGGTGTACGTTTGGAAGGTACTTGAGATCTTGAAATGGTATTGGTCTCGGATTTAGTAACTCACCTCACCACTTGAATCAATGTACAGCCACGTATCGTTGTTCATGTTACAACCAGGTTATTCAGGTTAGAAGTATGGTCATATTATACCCCGATGTTTTTGATTTCATTCACTCTTATTCAAATGCGCTGAACCAACTTTTATTCGATGTATACACTTTTTTTAGGGCGATTTTTTGATGGTACTGCGACTTGCTTATAAGTCTTGTTGCAAAAACGTGATGATCCTTTTTTGCAAACACTGCACTATTTTGTATTTTAGCCATTTTTCTCGTTTTATTTATTTCGCCAAAACAAAAACACTAAATAGATGTAAGAAAGTCTATATGATGCTTTACTTTAAAAAATGTTCATGTTTCTTGTTCTGTGTGAATAAATTAAGTGAATTGTACATCAATAAGGGTCAGCAAGGGATATTTTCGTAAGCTGTAATCAATTGTGTTTATTTTCGTAATAATATAATTTAAATAAATAAAAAACGTAAATTCGAAGACATGGGAAAGTTGTAAAATGTAATCGGCTATTTTATTCGTCCGTAATTTGTACAAAAATCTTATTTTTTGTAAGCGTATAAAGCATTTTATTTAATTTCCAATTTTGATTCTTAAGGTAGAAGCGTACTCATATTTTTGAGAAATTTTGTCATAAATCGCATGACAATGTTCATTGGTTTATTATGTAAAATCATGGAACTATTGTCCCATGGCACCATAAAATAGCATTCTATTGTGTGTTACAGTGACGTATTTTGAGAAACTTGTCCTAATTTTTTTCAAAAATAGCTATTTTTAGAACAATTCCATAGAGCGCAATGTTAAACAAAAATTGCATTTTTCAACACTTTTTAAAACCCAGATTTTTGAAAAAATTCTGGAAAACAAAAAGAAGGCCATTATTAACAATATATTATTTTTGCAGCCTATGTCACCAGCCCTACAATTTGAGATATGGCATAATATCTCTGCCATAGGAACCTATGGTAAAAGCACTATAATACTGCCTAAAATGGACGCTATCCACTATAATTAGACGTAGTATTTACCTTGCCGTTTATTCGGTGTTATTTGCTTAAAATACAACCATGATTATCTCGAAAATTAATCTGGTGACCCACATTTTTTTCAAAGTCAATATTCTTATATTGCCCGGAAGTACAAAATATTAAAAAATGAATAAATTCTGGGTTTTTGAAATCATGAGTAGGCATCTACCTTAAACACAAATTATCAAGTATATTATTAAAATGTTAAAGGGGAACCGCTCAATCCCATGGATTGCACCAAAGAATCATGGGACACTATTGTTTATGTTGTTTACAATGTTAATCTATCTTTTGTTATCCATTGTTATTTTAATCCAGAAAGTAAATTTGTTGTAAAATTAATCTTAACTGGAAGGTGCCCCTTTAAGTGTAATTATGAATTTGCTTGAATTTTATTTCTTTTAACCTGTACCAGCTATCCCCCCTTACCCCCCGCCACCAATGTATGATGAACGATGTTTATTTATTCGTCTGTACATACGTTTATTATGTAAAACTTGTGTCATGTCACGTGATGTGATGACGTCATTAATAATTTGATTATATCGTTATATCGATAGTTTTCCATTTTCTATAGAAGAGGGATGCGAAACGGGGGCGTTTCCTCTGTTGACATGTTGCTTGTAATCATCTATACTGATTCATTGTTAATTGGTGTCACTGACCTTGAACAAACTTGCCCGAAAATGGGTTAGAAAAAGTATAAGTATACATTTAAAAGTATACATGTACACGGTCGTTTTTAGTGACCGTGGACCATAACAACGGAAATAAAATGTTGTGACAGATAACTGATATGCTACGACCATTGGTGTTTGTTTTGTTTAACCCAAGTTAAAGCACGGTAGTCGTCGCGCAGCGGTTGTTCGAATTTCATGTAAATAAACAATGTATTTTACACACGTTGTATACGTCGCTATGAGTCCCATATCGAACAGGACGCGGCACGACGACTGTCGCCCTTTAATATAATTATAAATTACATGGTTTATTATAAGAGAGATACATCAGACATCCTAATTTATTTTGTGTTCTAACCATTCTTCCATAGAATCCAATTCCTTCGGACTACGTACCCAGTGCCATGATAATTTTTCCTAAAAACTGTATATAATCCAAATATGGTTAATGTGTAAAAATGGTCTATATCAAGAGTTTGAATTCGTACTTGTCACAGTCGCCTGTAACATTTATACGTGGGGGCACAGACCGAAATAATGTGTCTTCAACCTCAGATCGGGGGGGGGGGCAGTTGATACATAGCTAGGTAGGGAGGTGCCCCTGAGTGCTCAAAAGTGTGTGACCATTTTTATACCTGGATAGCTGCAAAATCTATACCCATATTTATACCAAAGTACCATTACTGTCATTACTGTTTATTCCAAATAAAACAGTTACCGTATTTGCTCTATTAGAAGAGCATCTCCAATAGAAGCACATGTAAGCCAACAGTTGCATTGTATATTGATTTATTAAAATATGTATTTTGATCATAGATATACCTCTGTCACTTACATAAGAGCATATTATTAATATAATGTTTCCGGGTTGATATGGATATATATGGATCTGAGGCTGGGATTTGAGGTGAAGATATTCGCTCGTATACGGACCGACCCATAAGTATACCAAATCGGAAAAATATAACCGATATTTATACCTATCTTGACCAGAAATAAGGCCAATACTTATACCTAAAATCTAAAAAAACAAAACGAGACCCATTTCAGGGGCACGTCCCCATTAGGCAAGTTATATGTAACGGGGGAGGGGGGGGCATCTAATGCGTATTGCATCTAATGCGGACGTATTGCACAGAGCGTTTTGCAGCGCCACCACGGGTCCTCGCTTGCCTTTCTGTGTTGTTATAAGTGACTGCACTTTTGCCGTTTATAGAATGAAGTCGGTAGAAACATTCAAAATAATTGTGAATCAAATCTTTAATGAAATGTCGAAGTAAGCCGTACTTCCAATTTGTGAATTAAAATGAAGACATTCAGCCTATGAGAGGTCCAGATTCTTAGCATGAAATTATAGAAAGAACCAGCGTATTTTAAAGTTTTTCAGCACGCCGTTTTCTGAGCAGTCTGAATTGTCAACATTTAAACGATTAGATTTATGTTTGTAGACCCTTATTTACCAAATGAATGTTGAACAAGATATGTGTTTTCTGATTAATATTTTCATTTGTTTTCTTCTAAAAATGTGAAATTTCACTTATGAATCTCATCAATTGACGCATTATAACAAAAAACAAAAAACAAAAAAAACAAAAAACATAAGCATGACAACAATTATAAATCCCTTCCTCTAGTGTCAGAGCACTTCTGTGACGTCAAAATGACGTACTAGTCACGGTATATGGATGAAGGCAATGTAGTTTGAATTAACAATTCTGTTTTGGTTGGTTGTGTAGTTTTTCGTCATCAGGATTATAGTTAAATCTCTAAAAAGCACAGTCTTTAATGATGGACGACTGCAGATCTAAACGATATCGACA